ATAACATAAAGCCAGGTTTACACAAGCAGTGTTTATGTGAGAAATATGTTTGAGTGTGTACATGGCACAGCAAAATTTTGTTGACAGTTCAAAGGTTAGTGTGCCTGTAATGATTGGACAGCAGAGATATGCACAGCTTTTAAACGAATACGTTTGTCACATAAAAATTGGCTAATTTTCCTCATCTACACTAGCAAGTAGGGATTGCCACTCAAAAACTGTCACATAAAAATGCTTGAGTAAACTGGGCTTAATTGAATACAAAGAAATTTCAAATCATGAATGTTTATAGTGTGTTCAATCAAATGTAAATTTTAGAACAAATTCTGATGCGTACCCAGTCAACAGGTAGAAACTCTGGTGTGCAAAATCTGGGAAGCAGCAGCAACCATCTTGGAGTGTAAATGACCTTTCACGTTGATGGTGGAGGTAATTGTCAAATTATGTAAAACTGTCCCAGTTCACATAAATCCAAAGTGCCTATTTGCAAAGGCAAGGTCATAAATGGCAAACAACTTTTCCTCTGAGGGTAAGATTCCAAGAAGTGCACCCCTTGGGAGGACCAAGCTGTTGCTGCAAGTGTGTGCAGTAGGTATGAAGAAGAATTCATTCTGTCCTGATGCCTGAAGTCAAATAAAAAGTATTCAAGAAAATGCTTAGTGACTGCCAAAATATTATTTATACCAAGTTAAACCAATGGTAGAGGCCTTAATCATTGTGTTCACATGCAGCTTTTTTTAGAGCTTTTATGTTTACCTACCCCTCCTTCTTCCTAAGCTTTCCTTTAAGCTGTAAGTTTGGGAAGTATTGATTGTTGTGCATCCTTCATTATGTCCACAGTGTGATGGTGTACCTCTTTTGACTGCCAAGAATATCCCTACACTCGGCTAGAATCACAGGTGGCTCTATCTTGTCCTAGGCATATTCCCTAAAACTAATCTAGCAACCTGCTGATTACTTATTATGATACCTATGGTTATTATGATCAGCCTCTCACCAGTTGGGATTTTTCACAAGTTTCTGTTTAATTTACAGTGTTTGTTTGCTTTTTTCAGTGCCCACAATTAGTACAACAGTGCTAGACACTTTGACACTTAAATAAAGTGATTTATTATTACCTGATCATTAACTTGCCCTTTGACAAAAGTAATGGTTGGCTGCTGAGTAAAGCCAAGGACAGGCTCTTCTGCTGCTCCAGTAATGAAGATTAATATAGAACTTAATGTCAGTGGGGGTCGCCTTCCACTAGCCACTTGTCTGATGTACTTAATAAAAAGGTCATAGACCTCCTTTTCTCTGGAGTACGCAGTAGAACCCTCTGGTGAAAACACTGGATTTAGAAGCTGAATGAGGATCTTTGCAGTTAATTGTGTGTTACTGGGTCTCAGAAGGTGAAGAAGTACTGGATTGCTCTGGAAGATCTTTATCAACCCAAACTTGTTCAGACCTTTCTGAAGGTTGGAAACACACATGTTCAAACTTGGCTGTGTAAGTGACTCAACTATGTCTAAAGGTAAGATTGTGGGCAACTGGCCATTCTGCAACAAGGCAATTCCCATCATGACTCCTACATAATAATTATCATCTGCAAGGAACTCTCTAAGACCATTATCAAAGTACTTTGTTTTCATTGCTGAATTGACCAAGCGAATCCACTCTTTGCGAGGACCTCCATAGTCTTTGGCAACTTCTCCCATAAAATCAACTTCAAATGTGACTGAGAAATCCTCAATAGATTGTAATTCAGCAAGTGTTGATTGCAAAATGTTTTCTCGATCCACGCAAATGTAGTTTGTTGTGTTTTTCGGGTCTTCAGGATCAGGTGCTGTGCTGTTATCTCCATCAGCAACATCTAATTTTCTTCCCTTGATCAGACGTTCTTGAAGGAATTTCAAGATCTCCACGGGATCTGTCATCTCTCTTGTAGTAATTTCCTGAATTAAACAATCATAAGGATCCAATTCATCAACTGCAGAGGTTTGAGTGTCAGACTCACCAGGTTTGTTAGTGGTTTCAACTTCATTGGTTCCCTCAGCTGTTTGTTCTTCATGTACAAGTGCAACAGCTTGTTCACTGTCATCAGCCTTGTCTCTATTTCCAACACTCAGATTAGTCTCATCATTCTGATCACCACTGGGCACCGATGAGAAAGAACTGACAAGCAAGTTCTCATCGGAATCACCATTGCTTTCTCCATAAATAAACTCGTAGCCCTCTCTGACTTTAACATACAAAATCCCCTGCCCAGCCATTTTCTTCACAACAGAGTAATTATACTCTGTATTAGGACCAAGCTCAAGCCTTGTTATTTTCTTTTGACGCACTTTAACAAATTCAAAGTCATTGGGTCCCATGATGGGAAACTTCTTGCTGGCAGATTCTTTAATAGAATTTCTAACAGATTCTTCATT